CCTCAGAGTGTTAATTTTTGATTTGTAAGCTGCTGAGAACATCGAGATGGGCAGCTATAGAAATTGAATAAATAATAATAATAATAATAATACTGGTTTGAGAAGATCTGGGATATTGGCGGTTGGTAGGGAAGTGCAATAATTTGAATCCAAAATTGAAGAGGTGCCACAAATACGGCTGCAACACCCATCAGTGCTTCCTCTGAGAAGCTGTATCTTTTTTTGGGGAGCTCACGTAGCAGCCAGGAAAATATCCTTTTGAGTTATCCAGATATGCAACAAGCTGTTTCCAGGGTGTGCTGTTGCTACCTCCCAAACTCAAATGTATATTTTCCTGCAATCCTACAGCAGCAACAGAAGCCCAGGAAAACATGTACTTTTTAAAGGATGCGCCAACTGCTGCAAAGTAACTTTCTGCCTTCAAATCCAAAATGTTGCACATCCCAAAATGTTGGATTTCCAAATAAAGCTCCAGCGGATGAGGAAAATCGTTATTTTCTCCCTGTATTCTGACTTATGTCTCCATTTATGGTAATTTTCCAACACTTCCGCTCCCAGCAGATTAGAGGTGAGAGTAGGTGTAAAATTCTCTTTATGATCAGCTCATGTGGCACTCACTGTTGGGGAATCCTGGTGTACATAAACACGCTTCCTTGAGATATTGTTGAGCTGTGTCTCATTTTTAACCCTGGTTTAATTTTGGGAAGGTTGAATTGGGTTTTGAGAGTGTCTGATAAAAAGATGCAACAGAATTGGAAAACGAATAGAACTGGAGGATTAATCCCCACCACCAGGATACCTACCTGCTTTCAACTATCCTAATATTTCCCCAGACAGACCTTTTGTCTCTTTGATTCTTGATTTCTAGGAAAAGGTACAGAAAGAAGCAACTACCCATTTGGAAGAGATGCAGGCATGCCAGCTATCAATCAGGTAAGCAGCACTGCTCTTTTATTTTAGTTAATTAATGAATTTGAAGTGTGTTTTAATCAAGGATTTATTCAGCAAAGTCTTGATCTCTTAGAACCAGGAATCTCCAAACTTGGTAACTTTAAGATTTTGTGGACTACAACTCCCAGAATTCCCCAGCCNTTACCCACCTCGGAAGGATGGAAGGCTGAGTCAACCCTGAGCCGGTGAGATTTGAACCGCTGACCTGCTGATCTAGCAGTAGCCTGCAGTGCTGCATAATATTGCTCATCCTCTCGTTCTCTAATTTCAAATGTAAGCTTACTCATTTCGGCACATTCCATTATTTTCCGAATAGTTTCCTCCTGTGATGGTAGTTTAAAACAAGTCACTTTTGAGAGGTTTTGAGAAGGTTGGCATAGATGTCTCACACAGCACTAGATCAAGTGCGCCACCTGGTGGACAACTGTTAGTGAGACTCCAGGTTTTTCCTCTTATAATCCTCAAATCATCCAAAGAGACAACACTTAAAATCAAGGCATTTGGTTATCTCCGAGCAGACACTGAGCTTAAGAATTTGTTTTCAGAACTGTCCAGTCCTTCAGGAAAAAAAAATTCTAAGGTGGGTTACCGTGAATTTTCTTCATTTCAGTAGCCTCTCCTCTCTCCCTCCCCCTAGACACGGACATTCATGTCTGTTTGTGCATCTACCCATCTAACTCTAGGAGTATTTATTGTAAAATGGGAGCTTAAGATCTTCTTTAGCTATTACAAATAACTGTCTGTAGATTCTGATCTACCTTTAGCCCACTTAGGGTTTTTTTATGACCCTATAATCCCTTTTATTGGGGTGGAGTCAGGCGATTGGAGCTGTGCATTTACTGGCAGGATGCCCTTCCTAACACCTATATGAAGTTCGCAGTTTGTGCCCTGTTAGAGAAATATCTGTCGTTGCCTAGGGTTGAACTCTCAGCCTCCTGATGGTGTGTAGAGCATCTTCACCTCTAGGCCACCGCATCTCTCAGTCCATTTCTGGGTTACCAATATGAAATTACATCTTCTGAGTTCATATCCTCTTAAGAAGTATCTGCCACACTTTGAATATTACTTGGCATTATTGTTTAATCTTAGATTTGTTTCAGGTAGATTCCACAAAACAAGAACTGTATCAAAACACATTCTGTATCTTTGCAATCAGACCTAAAACGACTCAAAACATACAAAATAGCTGTCAGATGAAACCACAAAACCATAGGGAGCCAAATAGTTTCTTTTCTGAAGATAAGCGTTTAAATAGGGAAGGCGAAACTGACAGCCAGTGCGCTGTACAAACCGCGGGAAGCTGATTAACGCCGTTTGAATCGCTTTTGCCCAAGCGACAGCCTACCTACCCTGCAGAGGTGGGTTCCTACCAGTTCGCACCTATTCGGTAGAACCGGTTTGTCAAATCTACCGAACCGGTTAGAAGAGGTTCCACCAGTGGACCCGGAAAGCAGGCCACACCTACAGAAGAGGTTCCAAAATTTTTTGAAACCCACCACTGACACACACACACAGACAGAGAGAGAGAGACAGACAAACAGACAGACTCACACAGAGAGAGAAAGAGAAAGAAAGGAAGAAAGAAAGAAAGAAAGAAAGAAAGAAAGAAAGAAAGAAAGAAAGGAAAAGTGAGAGAGAGATGAAAGAAAAAAGGAAAAGGGCAGAGAGACAAAAGGAAGGAAAAAGAGAGAGAAAGAGAGAGAGAGAGAGAGAGAGGGAGAAAACACATGGCCTGCAAGCCACTCCCACCAGGTCACATGGCCAGCAAGCCACTCCCACAAAGGAGGCCACACCCACAGAGTAGGTTCGAAAAATTTTTGAAACCCACCACTGACACACACAGACAGACAGACAGACAGACAGACTCACACAAAGAGAGAAAGAGAAAGAAAGGAAGAAAGAAAAAAAGAAAAAGTGAGAGAGAGATGAAAGAAAAAAAGGAAAGGGGGCAGAGAGACAAAAGGAAGGAAAGAGAGAGAGAAAGAGAGAGGGGGGGAGGGAGGGAGAAAACACATGGCCGGCAAGC